GCCACCTGGCTACCACCCAGGGGAGGGCCTTCTCTGTGGCAGCTCCGGCCCTTTGGAACGAACTCCACACGGAGAATCGGACCCTCACCTCTCTCCAGGCCTTCCGAAAAGTCGTAAAAACCTGGCTGTACCGGCAGGCCTGGGGTTGATGAGTTCCCCTCCCCTCTCGACCTGTATGGCTGTATGATTCTTGTTTATTTTAATCACATGTATTGTGTTTTATGTTCCCTTTTCCCCTTTTGAGTTGTTTGCCGCCCCGAGTCCCTCCCGGAGAAGGGCGGCATACAAAAACTAAATCTGAATCTGAATCTGATTGAAGAGTGTGTAAATCAAAATGAGTATCATTGTATTTGTGGTGGTTGTTGTTTTCCACTGCTGCTTCAGACTGGTGGTATTCCATAAGGTCCCAGTAATTATCTTCTCGCAAGCATATTTGACCAAAACCTAAACTGCACTCTTTTGATTTCTCTCGCCTGGTTGCCCTCTTCCTTCTGCTTGATTAATACCAGGAAGCCGTTTTCCTGCCTCTTTATCCAACATTCTGTAATTGACATGCCCAATAATAGTCTGATCATAAGGGTTATTTTTACTTGAGGATATATCTGCCAACCGTTGGACGAATTCTTCTTCAAGCTCACATTATCATGGCAATGTTTTTTTTTATTTATTTCACCTTGCTTAGGCAAAAGTGTCTGTGTGTATTTCAGGCGTGAAATATTCTTACCTTCGCTACCAGTTCAGAACTGGGAGTGTGTGTGTGTGCATGGATAGAGCGTCCGTGATGACATCTGGGTAGGTGGGCGGAGCCTCCCACCACCGCCACTACCAGTTCGCTCGAACTGGGGCAAACCATCAGAATACCACCTCTGGTGTATTTGTGTGTTGATAAGGTGGACTGGTAGCCTTGATTGTTAAATATGAGGTTAAGACAAATAAAAGTCAAAATAAGATGAGATAAGTGAAGAATGCTAACACTTCTTATTCAAAAATAGAAAGAAAAAAGAATAGTATATCATTAGTTCAGTGAGAATGACGAAGTGGTACCATATAGCAAAGAACAGAGAAATATAGTCTTTTCCTGCTGCTATCCTCCACCAATAGGTTTTGGTTGGGTTTGCATACTCTGAAGCAGAATTAGGTAGTTAATGTGAGTTTGCAAATCCCGCCAGTGTGATTATTCTATGACATAATGTACTATATAAATAAATTGAATTAATGGTGTTAACTGTAAAGGGTGTGTGGAATGGGCTAGAAGAAGAAAGAGCCACTACCAAAGCAATGATGAGATAAGCACAGCTTGAGTCCCTAATTCACACAAGGGAGAAGGAGGGAAACACATCCAAACTTGCAAGATTCTGATAATACAGGTATTCTTCAGGTTACAACTACTTGTTCAGCAATGACTTATGATGGTTCTGAATCAGTGGGGGGACGTATGACTAGTCCTTGGAGTTCTGGACATCACAGCCTACCTACATTCACTAATCATGTTTGGTGCCTACTTGACAATTACAATATTGCAGCAAACTGCAGTTATGCAAACAAGATCTCCCATGTTCTTTGCCAGCTTCCCACAAGCAAAATCAATGGTGAAGCTGATAGGAAATTGGAAGTCAATCATGTGAGGTCCCTGATTAACAACAGCAACCAGGACTTCTGTCACTAAGCAACACTGCCACATGAACCATGTTCTATGACTATGTCACTTAATGATAGTAATTCCAGTCCTAATTGCCATTATAACCTGGCTATACAGTGGTTCCAATAAAAGAAGTTTCATACTTTTATGGCTTTGGTTTCTTAGTCTGGCTTATTTTACAAGGCTGATTTTAACCATGGTTTGATATACTTTCTTTGATCATGGACGTACCATACTCCCATCAATATATTGTTCAGACTGATTATATGAACTTCCACTGATCTAATTTTAAAGCCATTTAAATGACTACCACCACATTTTGTAGCACTCAGTCCCCATATAAGGTTACCTGTTCATGTAATTGCCAGGTTTAATACAGCCAACTGCAATTGCTATTTTAAACTTCTCACTTAAACTTCTCCTTATAAATAATATGACATCACTTTCATTCAACACTGCGTTTTTATTTTAAGTAAGTGTAATGTCCTGCCTTAAATACAGTCATCTTCAGAGGCCATGTCCTGCAGATGAACTAGTCCTAGAATAGAGCATACTGAATATGATCATTTATGACAGAATATTATTAAATGACAGAAAAACAGAATAACAGATTTGGAAGAGACCTTGGAAGTCTTCTATTCCAATCCCCTGCTGAAGCAAGAAACCCTATACTATTTTTGATGGTATAGTATATGTCATTCTTCAACATAGTGATTAAATTAGTAGATCAGCGAGATACTGTGGACATAATAGTCTTTAGCAAGGCATTCAACAAAGTAGTCCACAACCTACTTTTCGGTAAGCTAGAAAAAAGCAGGATAGATAGCATCACCACCAGATGAATTTGTAACTGGCTGACAAACCATACTCAACGAGTAGTCCTTAATGAGTCTACGTCTATATGGAGGGAAGTAATCATTGAGGTACCCCAAGGTCTTAGGCCCAGTACTCTTCAATATCTTTATAAATGACTTAGATGAGGGAATAGAAGGGGGACTTACCACATTTGCAGATGATACTAAGCTGGCAGGAATAGCCAACACCCTAGAAGATAGGCTCAAGATCCAAATGGATCTTGACAGACTTGAACACTGGGCCTTATCTAACAAAATTAAATTCAATGTAGAGAAAAATGAAGTCTTACACTTAGGCAAGAAAAACCAAACGTACATATATAGACTTGGTGAAACCAGGCTTAACAGTAGTAACTGTGAGAGAGATCTTGGATTCTTAGTGGACAATCAGTTAAATATGAGCTAGCAGTGTATAGCGGCAGCCAAAAAGGCCAATACAATCCTATATTGCGTTAAGAGAGGGATACAATCAAGATCAAGTAAGGTACTAATACTACTCTATAAAGTCTTAGTAAGACCATGCCTAAAATACTGCATCCAATTTTGGTCACCACACTATAAAAAAAGATGTTGAGACTCTAGAAAAAGTGCAGAGAATGTAAACCTGGATGGTTAGGGGACTAAAACATGTGAAGAACGGTTAAAGGAACTGGGCATGGCTAGTTTAGTGAAGAGAAGGACCACGGGAGACATGATAGCAGTGTTCCAATATTTGACGGCTGCCACAGAAAGGAAGGAGTCAGGCTATTTTCCAAGGCATTCAATGGCCAGATAAAGAATAATGGATGGAAACTGATCAAGGAGAGATTCAACCTAAAAATAAGGAGAAATTTTCTGACAGTGAGAACAATCAACCAATGTCTGTTGGGTGAAGGATGAAAAACTAAATATGGAATTCAAATGAAATGACCTGTATGAAGACAAAATTAGTTGGTTAACTTATTACAGTAGTACCTTGAAGAAGAATATAAGGATGTGTATGTTTCATTATAGGTCCCATTCATTTATTGATCATTCCTAACATGAAGCCTCAGTCAAATGAGCAAAAATGGGAGAAAAATGAAACAAGCATGTTAAGGTAAACCAAAATAAAGACATTTTATTTTGAAGAAAATGAACATAATTTTTTTCTCCCCTTATGCCCAAATACCCTTCACTAGTTGAACTTCAATTCAGCTGGAAGATGTGGGCTGCCTCAAAGTCATTTCTTTTCCTTTTTCTTTTTTTCTCCGCTGTGAGTCTGTGTGATTAAAAGAAAAGCATCGTTTGACTTTAAATTGAGGAATCTTTTATCCTTTCAATATGATAGTCCTGAAGGGGGTGAAGGAGGGAGGCATGAAAGCAAAACAGGGTTGACTCTGCTTCAGTGAGAATGGCTCACTTCAATTTAGATTACTTTGATTAGGTTGGAACAGGTTACTCTGATCCCACATGACTCCCTTTGATGTCAGAATCTGGATTTTGAAGTGTGAGCTGTTTCAGAGTTGGGACTTTTGCAGCTTCAAATGTTTTCTACACCGCTAGTGGAAAGTTATTTTCTAGCAGGACTGCAGAAAGGCTATTAATAGTAATAGCTAAAAACAACATTTTTCAACTGATAATGTTTCATATTGATTATCCTTCTTCAACTCTAACAATTCCACAAATCGCCCATCCTTGCTATCTGGGAGGTGATGAAATCCCACACATCTGGGAACACCAAGCTGCTGAAAATAATTGGCAGCTCTAATTATCAATACATTTCTCTTCCATCTATCAAGTACCCATTCAAATTGTTTTACCTTGCCAGAATCACTGTCAGAGCTGCTGCTGCTGCTGGAACTGTCATCCTCTTGCCCAGGCTAGAAAATAAAACCCAAGAGATTAGGCCAGCAGCAGAATAAAACATGGAATTTGGAAATCAACTTACATTGTATGTGACAGCATGTACCTAAATGGCAGAGTCCTTATTTTTCATGCAGAAAGTCCCATATTCAGGCCCTGCCTTCTACACTTACAGTGGGAAAATAACACCACTTACAAATTTAGAGGGTTGCTTGCAGTAAAACTGGCAGTAATGAGGTTGGAGGAGAGAGAATCAGAGAGTTGGAAGGGTTCATTTAAGTCATCTAGTCCAACCCCTATTCAATGCAGGAATCCATTCAGTCACTACCTGACTATATCCAGTGAAAGAAAGCTTGTCTTCTTCATCGTCTTCTCCTGTTAACTCTTCCAACTGTAAAACTGCTCTTACTTTGTCTCTTATAATAAATCAGAAATTGTTTTCTACAATATAGCTCCATTATTCAGTTTCTTATGCTTTGGTCAATACAAAGAATGCCTTGATTAAATTTCAGATACTTGAAGAATGCTGTTATATCACATTCAGTTTTTCCTAAACATTTTCAGTTACTTCTATCCAGTGATGGGTTTCAAAAATTGTTCGAACCTACTCTGTGGGTGTGGCTTCCTTTGTGGGAGTGGCTTGCTGCCCATGTGACCGGATGGGAGTGGCTTGCCATCCATGTGACCAGATATGAAGATGCCGACGACACTAATCAGAATCACCTTAAATTACCTCACACACAGCACTGGCATGCATAAGAATATGATGTAAACTTGTTTTTCAAAAGGCATCTTTGGTTTACGTTAAAACAACTTCAACAGACGCAATGTTCTGATTGCACCACAAACGCAGTAGTCATCCTTACCTTTCACAGAGGCACTGAGTTTTATAAATATGAGCATGATAGTGTAGAATAATCATATCCAAGGACCAGTGGTGGGTTTCAAAAAATTTTGGAACCTCTTCTGTAGTTGTGGCCTGCTTTCCGGGTCCACTGGTGGAACCTCTTCTAACCGGTTCGGTAGATTTGACGAACCGGTTCTACCGAATAGGTGCGAACTGGTAGGAACCCACCTCTGCTTCTGTCTCTTGGGATAGGACTTAATTTCCAGGCCTCAGATTTTACCCTTCTCTGAACCTGTCCCGATTTATCTGAGTCATCTTCAGGTTTGATGCTTAGCACCGGAACCAACGTTACATAGACGGGTAAAGTAAAAAATTACTGCCTCCAATAGGACAAGTATACTTTGCAGCAACCTAAAATTGATGTGAATTTTTTTTCTGCACACTACCCACATCACTCACATTTACTTTATAACCAGTTACTCTTCCAAGACCTTTTTCTAGTATGACTAAGCTAGGCATACCTCTTCTATATCTGTGCATTTCATTCTGACTTCTAAACGAAGAACTCAAAAAGCTATTTTATTAAGAACTTTAAGAAAAATGTGGAACACTTGAAGGTTTGGGTGATCTGATGATCTTGTGACACTCTGGCAAACAGCCTTTCAGATTGATAAGGGACAATTAACATTCCTTCAGTATTTGAATAAATAAATATATAATTATATTCTATATGTATTTATGTATGAATGCATATAGTGTGTGCATGTACGCACACTCGTGTGTGTTATAAGATGCTGGGTTTGTCAATAAGAAAATTGCGAGTTTGAGACCCAAATACCCCATTCTTGCCCCAGTTCCTGCCAACCTAGCAGTTGAAAAGCATGCAAATGCAAGTAGATAAATAGGTAACACTTCAGTCAGAAGGTAACAGCATTCCATGTGCTTCAATATTGATACATGACACACACAGAGAGAATAATTCCCTTGATTTTTCAGTCACAGAATTGCCAATCTTCTGCCCAAATTAGACCTTAGGTGAAGCCAGCCCACTGTAATCTTTTCATTGAACAACATTGTTGTGTCTAACCTTTGAATATATTATAATTTTCCCATGGCTCTTCTGTTCTTGTCCTATGATGTTATATTTTGCTGTAAGCCATTGTATTATCAGCCTACATGTATTTTACTTTTTACATGGGAAAAAGCTACATTTTAGCCCAGCAAATCATCTCAGTCATTAGGCAAGAAGAATAAAAGGCAAACAAGTTTTTTTTCTTTTTTGAAGTGATATAGTGAAGAATCTTTTTTTTCTTTTAAGAGTGAAAGCAATGGCACTCTTCTTGCCAGCTACAATAAAAAAAGAAAAATATCCTGTCTCTGCTCTTTATATTAAAGATCTATTAGACTGTAGCATTAAGTATCCGATAATCATTCAGAGCAAGCCTCGCTATTGAACTGTGAAGTGCAATAAATTAAGAGAGGGCAGATGTCACATTTACAGAAGCTATTAAGTGTATGTGTGTGCAGTGACACTCTTAAGATCCATCAAAGAGTCTGGTTATCCAGGTTGACAATGATAATGATTGATTATTATCATATAATATATATCATGATAATATATTGATATTAATCATTAATTAATTCATATTGGTTTTGGAATTATGAAGTAATTAGGAATCAGAAACCCTTACCAATTTGTCACAAAACAACCAGAGAAGTACTGACTGTTGGGTTGAATCATGGTATGCAATTTTAGTTCAATTGAAAGATACAAACTGCATTACCCCACAAGTCTGCCAAGTCAGAAGTAATTTAAAAATAGATGGAGAAAAAACAATCTGTAGAATGTAAAAGAATTATATTATATTAGAAAGAGGATTTTTTTAAAGTTAACGACTGGCATATGTATAATACAGTATAATAAAATAGGCAAGTAGAAATAAATTCTAACTAAAATGTGTAAAACTAAGCCAAGTGTCTAGGTTTGTAATTCTATAAAAGGCTTGTAATCTATAAAAATGAGCAGAACCTAAAAGTTGTTAAAGCTATCTACAAGACTTAACCCATAAAACTTTTAAAGGGATTCTGTTCTCTTACTATATTGGAACTCACATTGATGCCACGATACAATAAAATATTGTGCATAATATGTAAAATCTATTTAAGTGATGTCTAATAAAAAATGCAACCCACAGATTTTAAATAATAAATAAATAATATATAAAATAATAAATAAATAATATATAAAATAATAAATAAATAATATATAAAATAATAAATAAATAATATATAAAATAATAAATAAATAATATATAAAATAATAAATAAATAATATAATAAATAAATAAAATAATAATAAATAAAATAATAAATAAATAAAATAATAAATAAAATAATAAATAAAATAATAAATAGTAATAAATGCAACCCACAGATTTTATATTCTTGCAATTATATTTGAAAGTCCATTCCAAAGCAGAATCCCTCAAATGAAATCAATGTAATCCTTGCTTTTTCACAGAAGGCTTAAAACTCAGTTTTAAAACTCAATACAATGCTTATAGTTTTTGTTAGAGATTAGTTCTAACTACAGTGGTTTCCACCAAAGTCTTCTGTTCCGGTGGGAACAGAGGTTTAATCCTATTGGTCGAAGGGTCTGACAGCTCCCTATAAAAGGGCTGCTGTCAGACTCAACCTCCGCTGGATTGTTCTCACTTATTGTACTCAATAAAGAGCTATTGTTACCGTTAAGCCTGTGTGTGCCTATCCATTACCCAATCTAACAGTTTTCTTCTCCCCACAATAGCAAATTAGGGATTTGCACCAGTAAGGATGAAGGATAAAAAGCCCAGTTTGCTCCTTCCCTAAATGGTCCTCTCTTTTCCCCCCATCTCCACTTAGTAGCCATGAGTTTCAAATGAATTACAGGGACCACTTCCTTTCCCACCATTCCCTACCTTTGAAAGAACACTGGACAAAGAGAAACTATTGTAAAATAAATATCCCATACACATACAAATTAAAAATATAGAGAGGAGGCAAAGACAATCTCTGTTATAACAAGCTCTATGTTTGCTCCCCACCTCCTTTAAAAATAAAACCATTTCAGTCAGGGGTGGGCTTCAAAAGTTCCAGCTATGGGTTTGCTGCCCTTGTTGGTGGGTGGGCTTGGCCATGGTGGGCGTGGCCTAGCTGGCCTCCTGCACCATGGGGGGGATTTTTTACCCTCCCAAGGCTCCAGAGTCTTTCCTCGAGCCTCCAGGACAGCAAAAACTGTTTCCCCCAGGCTCCAGATGCCCTCTGGAGGCCGGAAACAGGCCCATTTCTGGACTTCTGGAACCTCTGGTAGGCCCATTTTTCACCCTCCCCGAGCCTCTGTGTGGGCCCTGCGCTTACCTTACATGATGAACAGGCCACATGGAGACACCTGAAAGGGGCAGGGTGGGTGGGGAGGGGTGGGCAGAGCCAGCCAGGGGTGATATTTGGGGGTTTGCTGAACCGGGTAGAATCCTAGCTAGAGGATTGCCTGAGCCCATGTAAACCCCCATCCCTATTCTGTTGGGGGGTGGGGGTAATTGCTTTTGCTTTAGCCATCCTTAAGTCAGTTGGATGGGTAGACAAGATGGAGACTGAGCAGAGGGAACAGGCTGGAGTGGAATGGTAAAGGGTAAAAAAGAGTGGGGTGAAGGAAGGTAAAGCAGTAGAACATGATAAAAATTGGACGAGAGACAGGAGTGGCTGGAGTAGAACAGGGGGCCAGGGACACAAATGCAATAAAAGTTGACAAGAAGAGGGCCTGGAAAAGATGGCAACAGCAGTAGCAGGAAACAAATTAGGGTCAAACGGAGACGAGCCAAATGAGAAGATATCAATCAACAGAGGTGAGGAGGGAAACCAGGACTATATCAGTGAGATTGGTGGCGTAAAAATTTAATAAATAAATAACTATATTTCAGCAGAGGAAATTGCTCATGCCTGTTGGCAGATACTGTAGGACAGGACACACAGTCAGGCTTGGAAGAAGGCTCATCTTGTCCCATGTTTGACTTTGTTTTGTTCCCTAGCCCAGGATGCAACTGATTTAGCCAAGGGAAGAATGAGGTGGTGGCAGCAAAAATATAGGATAATATGGAGCAGCTGGCAAAGAAAGCAGAAAGGCATAGATCAGAG